TGATGGATCTTATTAGAAATAATTTACTTAAAGTTGTACAAAGATAAGGAGAAAAAATAGCATAAGATTCGTTGTACCTATTCCTTTTCTGATATAATTATATAATGATCTACAGAACTGCTGCATCTTCTATCTCTTTATTTTATTTAAATTCTGCAACATTTTCAATATATTTTGGGTTCTTTCATATTTGGTTAATTTTTTATAATCGTCCGATTTCTAAACAATTTTTTTTATATTTTGATAATTTTTTATTTTAATTTTTATTTATGAATCTTCTTAATCGCTGATTCCTTGACTTTTTCCATGATTTTTCAGCTTTCAGAAGTCACTTTTTTATATTTTCCCGTATTTACATAGTCTTTATTATTTTTTTTTTTTTTTTTTTTAGGTCAATTATTATTTATATATATATTATATTATGTTCTTTATATTATAACCCTTATAAAAAATTCTCCTCCAATTTATATTGAATTCCCCTTCTCATTTCTCCTTCCTTCTCCCTTACTCCTTAGAACTTTATTTCCATTTCCTTATTGCGATTAATTTCTCCCTCTCTCTCTCCCTCTCCCTCTTTCTCCTTTAAGCGTTTCTCCATCTCCAGCGGAAGTTCATCGAGTGGCTCCATCAAATCTTTGCATTCCCATTACCTCTTTCCTGTTTTCCTCTGGCTGTGGAAGCCTTTCCTGGGTCGCCTTCGCCTCGACCTCGATGCAGTAGCAGCTTGACTTATGAATATCTTTCGTGTATTTTTTCTTTTCAGTATTTCTTTTTATGGGTTTTTTTCGTTGTTGTTTTTTGTTGTAGTTTTGCTGCTGCTTTTTCTTGCTTTGATCCAGTATTTACAAGCGTGTTTAATCGTAATCGCCAGAGAGCAATTCGCTCGTGTGCACAATGTTAACGGAGTTTATTCCTTGCCTTTTTGTTAGTCTTGGGAGAAACATATATACATAGATATATATATGTATGATATGTATGATATCATGTTTAAAAACATATCTGCATCTACATGTCTGTGTTTTGTTACTTTTTTGCATATTTCTCTCGTCTCAATCAATTTCATGTGGAATGGAATACCCTAACAAGGGAGGAGTATGACTATTAAGCAGAGAAGGAAGCATCTACGACCTCATAAGATACATGTATTTATATGTATATATTTTGTATATTTTTATATATTTTATTCATTTTTAGATGCAATAATTTTAAACGATTTCTGGCTGAAACCATCTTTAAATTTCATGGAAAATTTTGTAATACAAAATCGTACAAATCGGTGTACTAGATTCCCATAAAAACTGTCCTAATTGTAGTACTATTTCAGCTAAAGCTAATCGCCTGATAATGTACCTTAAAGTGTATCTAAAACTTCGCCTCTCAAAGCCACAAAACACCGTCTCTCGGTCTCTCTGTCTCTCTGTCTTTCTTGTTATTTTCTGTTTCCCGCTCATTTGCATTTACCATAAATTCAATTTAACCCGCTGTCCGGCTGTCCGGCTGGTCTGTCCGCTCATCAGGTTGTCTTTTTCCCAAAATCCCCGCCCCCTCCCCGCCACCGCCACCGCCACCCTGCGCCTCCTTTGCATATCAGGTGACGCTGCTCCTCCTTGAGCATTTCTCTTGATTTCCTCCTCGCTGCTCGAGTTATTTACACGCTTTTAATTCAATTGCAATTGCACAATTAATCAAGAGTTTGGTACACCTTGGCATACTCGAATACACTCACATTCACGTTCAGTCGCATTCACTCGTACTCACTCGCCGGCTGTTTAGTCTTTCCTCATGCGTGTTTTGCCGAGGTTCAACGGAGCGTATGAGCGATTTTCGAGCATGTCGAGCCTCTCTTTTCCGCTCGTGTGCCCGGTTGCCCGTGTGCCCGTGTAGCCGTGTGTTTGTTGAACTCTTTTTCTGTTTCTGTGTTAATTAAACACTTTAATTTGGCTTTGGCGCTTTGTTAATGCTGTCATAATACGGCCTGTCCGTATTTCCACCCCACAACTCCACAACTCCCCCCCCTTCACCACGTGGAAAACAATTGCATTTTTTGTCTTCTTTTCAAGTTGTTCCGTTTTCGTGTGTGCAAAATGATTGATTCGATTTCTCAGTGGCAGCCAACGCACAATGGGCCCAGCCACGTTATTTATGGCCCCCAAGCCCCAAGCTCAAATCTCCAAGTGCATGAAATTGTTCATTACATGCAACCAAGGTACATAATGGGGGGCGGCAGCTGGTAGAATTATGGGATACTCTTACAGGGATATCCTAAAGGCACCAAGAAACGAGTCTACAGATTGACGCTAAGAAATATTATTTGGAATACTCCTATATAATGGAACCTTTATGCTAATATTTTTCCAACTAAAACATTGTTTTCAAATTGATATTCCCTATTAAACTTGTTAAATTATTAGAAACTTGGGAATATCGTAAGAAAATAAAATAAAAATATCTATAAAATTTGATTGAAATACTCATATAGATACACTCAGAGAAAAATATCATAGTAAATGGAAACATCCATATTTAAAAAGAATATTCGGTTTTTAAATTCAAACATTAAGAAATCAAATAGAACTTAATTTGATTTAAATATAATAATATTTAATATAAAAAAAATAAATATATTGATAATTGTATTTAAATTGTTTTCTTTAAATATGAAATATTTTTAAATCTTTCTTTAAGATTTATCATATTAAATTAATGTATATTAATAAATATTATTATTATTATATTAAATAAATATTATTAGTATTATATTAAAAAAATATTAAATAAATATATTAAATTTCAATATTAAGGTTTCAAATATTAACTAAAACAAAATGTGACCCTAATCATTCCCAAACGAAACAATACCCCTAGAACCCTATTGATATCATCTCATTCCGGGTTTTCTGGTAGACCGCATTTTCCTCCACTTTTGTTGGATATATTCTAATAAATATATTAACAGACAGAACAGTTTTTACATAAGAAAATGTATAAATTATCCCGATATTTCCATGTTCCATAATTTCGATTAAATTCTCTAACAAAAATAGTACCTCACACCCAAAAATCTGTTGCTGTTGCAGATATTGGAAACGTATTGGACAGTCACCCCAAAGATCATTCTTTCCGGCATTGACCCCTTCCTAGGGTATCTGTAACAGACGCAGATAATTCGTATTCCAAATCAAAGTCTCAAAGTCTCAAAGTCGTATTGGAGTCGCATTGGAGTCGCATTGGAGTCGGAGTCTGTGACTTTTAAGGTGGGTCGTCGTGAATAGCGGAAATTCCACACGAGCTCTCGGATACCGCCTCGCACAAAAGTCAATCACCGCCAAAGGAAAAAATAAACCGAAATGAAAAACGAAACTCAAAATGGAAATGAAAATATCTCGCAGATGCATAGATGCACACAGAGCTCGTACTCGAACTCGTACTCGAACTCGATGTCATAGATACTGGAGCTGGAGTGCGGTAACATTGACATTTAGAATGCAGCAGCGACGGGCGAAACCCGGGCCGAGGCTCGGGCCATTCATAATTGCGGATTGCTGCGAAAAATGCCATAAAGAGCAACAAGAAAAAACGCCAAAGACCAAAACCAAATCCAAGTCGAAAACGAAATCGAAATCGAACGCACTGAAAGTCCACAAATCTACTAACCTTGTGCCCCCCCTCGGGCCATAAAAAGCTGCGTATTGATTTCGGGCCATGTCGCAGTCGCAGTGGCACTCGCATGGGGGCATGCCGCTTGGTTGCAGGCCAATTATAGTGCACTTGTCCGCCAGCAACAGCTGACTCTGGGATTGGGAGTGGGAGTGGGGGCCAGGAGTTGAACCACGAAGTGAGGCAAGACCAGAGCCAATGGCGGAGCCTATAGTGCGGTCCAGAGTGCTGCAGGAGCTGTTGCTGTTGTCTGAGTGGTGCCACATGCCGCCGCCGCCGCTGCCACCGATGCCGCAAAGTGCATTGAGCAATGTTTCTGCCATGTCGTGAGTGGGGGCTAGAGCCCATACAATGATCCAATACCCAAATCGGTATGTGGTCTATGGAATCGTATCTGCAAGGAAGGTCATTGTTCGGTACGAGTGTAATTCGAAGAATAATGAATAGGTTATAGCCAATACGGGCATATACGGATCTGGTGGAAGGCTAGCAGACAATGAGGAAGTGGAAAACCCATAATTAGAGCTTTAATCTGGGAAATGTCTGCCTAGAAACCATATACGATTGCTTAAGTGTGGAGTTTCCCACGGTTTTCAGGGTAAATGATTGCCGTAAAGACATTCGATTACTGTGGGAGATCTTTCGATCCTAATCGATCATCTGGCATATCCCCAATCAAGTTCTACCTTCCCTAGCACCCCATGCTATCCCACATATTGCCAAATATTACACCAACTCATCACCGCCCACGCTCAGAATCAATCTTGGCTTCTAAATTGTTGTCTTTTTCCCTGTAGCATCCCATGAATCATCTTAACCCACTTTGCAGCCGGTCGTCGTCACCCACATGGGCGACATTTGCACAGCCAATTGCAGAAAAGCTTCTCTTGAAATACAAGTTATTTTTTTTGTCAAAGCTCCAGCATTAAAACATTCTTTACAGCCTCTGGGCACGCTTCAGGCAGCGCACAGAGAGCCATGGAGCACAGATACTCGTACAGGCCACATATAAAAGTCATACAAAACGATCTCATCATAACTTAAACGTCACGTTGCAAGAGCCATTTAAATATTGGCTCTGACGACAATGGTAGCCCCCCAAAAAAAAACAAAAAAAAGCTGAAACCAAAATAGACATTGCAGACACAGGCCCCAACAATCGATGCGATTTAAGAGAGTAAGAGTGGGCCCCAAAAGCCCACAGAAAAACTCATTTAAGAGCAAAAGCTATGGCCAGGCCAGGCCCCACGATCCGCGGGGCCGAGCTTGAAAGCGAAATCAAATCGAAACCGAAAGCCAAGCGAGGCGCATGCGCGGCGGCTCTCTTCGACATCGACATCGACATCGAAAGAATAAGCCAAACCGAAATCCGAAAGAGAGGAGGTTCGGTGATTCGGTGGCCAGCTTTTTCGGCATCTTTCGGCTTTGGCTTTGGGCCAAAGGTATCTGCTGTTAGTCGTTATTTTGGCAGCCGAACGTGCGGATGCGGCCACCTGTAAGAAGCGCGTCCCAGTCCCAGACCCAGTCCAGCATCAACAAGTGCTTGCCGCTCATAAAAAGTGAGTTTCGATGTGCCACCAAAGTGTAAAATGGTTAAAAAGGAGGCTGCACCCTCCTCCCCCCTAAAAGAAAAAAGAAGAAAAAACAAATAAAATACCACTCGAAAATGAAATTTTTATGCAAATTATGACTTTGGTAATTACCACTGTACTTGCAGTGTGTACCGTGTGTTGTTTGTGCAATCAGTCCGACACAAAAGTGACTTTATTTATTTTGAAGTTTGCACTTTTAATTAAAATGCTAGCAAAAATAAGTTGCAATCAAAATTGATTAACATAAAACAAGGCAGCCAACATGTGAATGTCTCGGGTATTCGTAGAGGTATTCGTGGGGGTATTCGTAGGGGTATTCATTGCAACCGCAAAAGTGCCGAGACCCCAAAAACTGTAGCGTGGAAAAGTGACAAAAGTGTGGTTCTCGTGTGAGTTTACTCTAGATCATCGGATCGCTCAAGACGGTTGGTGTCAAAAAATAAAACTATTTAAATGTGCAAAACAGGTGCAACGGCCAAGAATCTGTGGAGTCTCTTGGAAGTGTGTGATTGATGGCATAATTGCTACGATGACAGGCTGATTTCAGCCTCAAAGTTCAACGGGTTATTAGAGATCATCTCCTCAGAGATCATTTCAGCATCCAAGAAGAAGAGTACTTAATGAGTGAGATCTTTTTGCGTAAGAAGTTAACTCGTTTTTCAGTGGTTTCGGGCAGTGATCAATCAGTGGAAAATTAAATAAAAGAGAACTTAATTTTTGCAACTTGATTGGCAGGCATGACGGTTCATAAAAGAAACCCATGGGTAGTGGGTAATGGGTAATGGGTAATACAAAGAGCCAGTAATTAAAGTCCACAAAGAGATTGTACTCGAAACAGTGCCACCCCCCCTGCAGTCCCCCTCTTGAGCCCACGTGCTTCTGGTTCTTGTTGGAAATGTCAATTATGATCGATGTTCGATCGCTGGTCGCAACCCTCTGTAGAGCATCCATGACGCATCGTTAGAATTGCCCAACCAAAGTGTAGCATGCATGTATCTGGGTATCTGAGTATCTCGGCTCATGTCTGGCCATAATCGGCGTGTCTAACAGCCATAATCCACCCGCTAACAGGCTGCCCGACTGCCTGGCCTGCCTGGCCTGCTGGCCTCAGACCCAATCCCCTGGCCAGAGTCCGAGTGGCCTGCTCACCTCGCATTGCACATTGCACATCTTGGTGGCACGTAGCAGAGCCGGCTCTCAGTTCGAGTCTCAGGCAAAAATAAAATCAAAAAGGCATAAACAATTTATTTGTACAAAATAACTTTGAACTGCAGGCAGTTGCCGAGCCGCAGAATGACTTGACTTGCTCTAAGCTGGCATTTTCCATTGGATGCTGCAACGATTGGTTGTCCAAGTCGGAGTCGTCTGAATCGTGTAATCAATGCAATTTACTGGACTGCCATGCCAGTGGAATGTGGTGCATAGGTTCTCGTTTAAACAGTGTGAAATAAAAGCAATATGCAACACACTCCCTCGATCGCATAGAAGATTGCACTTGAAGCAGAGTGCTGTCTGGCGGGGCATTCAGGCGGAACGAATCGTAACCGAACGGTTGCTCAAAGGTGTTCTAATGGCTGACCAAATGAGCTATTGAACAATGCCTGGAAGTGGTTTTCGGGCTGGGAGATACACCAGATATACTAATTAGAGGCGGCTCCGACTGGCTGTGGGTGGAAGTTACCCAAGATCTAGATAGGTGCGTGCAGGAGGCTGTAATTTGGACTGGAGCGGAGACTGGCCATTCACTTTATTTGGGGTGGGGTGGGGGAAGCTATTCCCTTGATCTTCCGATGTTCACCACTAAAGACTTCCCTCCAAAGTTCTGCCGTTGAGACCCTCATTAGTCGGGGATTACACAACAGACAGACAGACGTCTTGGCCAACCTTCTTCTCCACCTGCGACATGCTCATCGCCCATTAGACGGGTTTCCTCACCGCAGCCGAAGCATCCCAAAGCGGCAGACATTAACAACTCTCTTAGAGCCCTGGGCAGACCCGACCCGATCGTATTGTTTGGTTACACCCATTCGCCGCAGCGAGAGTCTCGACCCTACAACAAGGTTCTTCACAGCACTCCGTCAATTGCTATTATGACCTTTCTGTCGATGGCTTTTGCTTGGTAGCATTTTCCAGCCCAACATCGCCGACTGACCTTAGCGAAATCTTTAGAGCCCCAAGCCCCACTCTTAATAACTCTTTTTTTGCACAACTGAGAGTGAAGTGGTGTCTCGGGTTGCAGCTCATTAATCGAGCAACGAACGGCGCAAGAGAGCAGAGCTCTCGAGTGGAGCTGCTACCCCTTAATAGGCCGCAGAGTCCGCCCCATCCTCCTCCTGTGCAACACTTGAGGAAGCCCGCAGAAACACGGCAGGCGCAGTCAGGCAAACGAAAACAAAAGTGAAAAGGTCACTAGCACCAGTTGGGGCCACCACTGGGAGGGGGAGGGGGGCCAGGCAGTCAGGCAGGAGTCGCAGCTGGAGTCGGAGTCGTCTCTAAGCACTCGTCGACACTCAACATTCAGCCAACTGTGGCCGCCAAGCTCAAGCGATTTTGCTCAGGAAAGGGTATAAAACATAAAACATGAATACATAACACTTAATTTGGTTGAAAAGCAAAACAAAATAAAGAAAACCCCAAGCTGGGAATCCGTTTAACTTCTTTAAAGTATCTGCATCTGCTTTGGCCCCCATTTGGGGGATTCGAGTGGCTTGGAAGGTGTACTTTATGGAAGGCAAAAACCTAGACAACTCTTCTCGTGGTTCTCTGCAAGACAAGGCATGTTTTACTAGGGGGAAATACCCCCCGAAATCATCAATTATTTTGAACTGAAAAGCTTAAAGTGTTTCCTATAGGAAATTTCCTTGAAAAGCATTCATTTCTGAATAGTTTTTGCCAAGCAACAAGCCAGAAATATATGAATAATTCCTGGGATATATTCCCATCAAAACCCCTGACTATAGTCCTTCTTTAGGCCTTCTTTTTCCTACAGAAATAAACCTTGAAATATATTAATTTCTGAACAGTTTTTCTCCAAACAAGAAGCCAGAAATATCTGAATAATTGTTATACAAAGACTTCTATAACATTCCTTACGGTCCTTGGATATATTCCTATCAAAACACCTGACTATAGTCCTTCTTTAGGCCTTCTTTTTTCCTATAGGAAATTGCCTTGAAAAGCATTCATTTCTGAATAATTTTTGGTAGACAAAACATCTGAATAATTTGTATACCAAGACTTTTAAAACTTTATTTACAATCCTTGGGCGTATTCCTATCAAACCTCCGACTATAGACCTTTTTTAACCAGAGGAAACCCTTCCCTAGCTGCAATCATCAGCCAATTTATGCTTTTCCTAATGGTTTTTCTCCTACAATTTGTTGGGGATTCCATGAGGCACCCTTTAGGACACCATAGTTCTATATAGCTCTCTAGTTCCCTATCATAAACCCCGCCTATTCCTCCTATATAGAGCATCTCTTGTTCGTGGTGGGGCCCTGTCCCCAGACCGACTTGTTTCTAACTCTTATTGCTGTTGTTTTCTGTTGTTCGTTTTTCCGGCTAACAAGTTGAGCTTGGCCCAGGCTTTGGGCCCGTTGTGTGCCGCAGTAGCGGCCACAAGAGGGTACCCTCTTGGCCAATGCAATTCGCATTTCAATTTTTCTAAACTATTGGCCAATAGATTTTTTTTTTGGGGGGCTTCTCGTGCGCCCAGACCCAGAGCCACGAGCATTCACATGGAGATACCGATGGCCGCCGATGGCCGATGGGAACTGCAGCTGTGGCTGTGGCTGTGGCAGTGGCAGTGCTGCAAGGCGAGGAAGATGTGTCCGAGATGCGGTGGGGAATTAATGAAGCTTAATTGAAGCAGCTCTCGGCGTTCAATCTGACAGATCCGATCCGGGGGATCGCGAGTTGGGTGACAACTTTCCAAATAGTGGAAATGCCATCTTGACTTTCATTTTCATTTGTAATTCGATTTCCTTTCGCCGAAAAAAACCAAAAAACAGGAGACTGCGCTCAAGGCCCTAATCTGGTGAACCCCCAGGCACGAAGAGGCTCCCCAGATACCCAAAACGCCAGATCGCCAGATCGGTTAGACAATAGCAATTACCCCGCAGAGAGCGAGCGAGGAGGGCTTATGCAACAGAAGCGGCAGCAGCTGCAATTGACATTTGGACAAAAAGTCGGAGACAAAGGTGAGCCGAGGCGATCTCTGGCAATAATCATGGATGAACAGAAGCCCCAGCAGCAGCAGCAGCCACAACCGAACCTCGATGGCATGTCGAATGAGGCCTCATCAGTCAGTGGATTGAGACGTCAGCCCACAAAATATCCGCACGGCCTCAATATCACGGTGCAGACCATCGACGACGACTACTCCCGCGCCTCGACTCTGCGCAGCAAGGGCTCCTCCAGCGAGGAGTCGGCCTGCTGGAGCGACACCCACAAATATCGCATTGGCATGCTGGGCAGCCCCGAGGCCCTGGCGGAGCTCCAGGTGCGCCGCTACAAGTATCCCCTGACGAGCCCCAGCTACTACCTGGAGGCGGCCCAGCAGAAGCCCACGCCCCTGATGCTCTTGGGCTATGCCCGGCGCGCCTGTCGCTGGAAGTACCTGCGCTGGCCCATCATCTTCGTGGCCAGCGTGCTGCTCTTCTTCGGCCTGATCACCTACTGCCTGTGGCTGCACGACGTGAGTGTGGCCCGGGCACGCTTCCTGCAGCGCCGCCACGAATCAGCCGTCACGTCCTCCACGAGCAGCAGCTCCGAGGTCTACGATGAGGAAACCACCACCAGCACGGACCCGGACGGGGACGGGGAGCCCCAGGAGACCACGCGACTCAGAGCGGTCGAGGGGGGGGAGCACACAACGGAGTTCCAGCCAGAGATGACTTTGGAGGAGGGGCAGGAGGAGGACTACGACGACACCTTGCTGCCGGCAGACAGTATTCGATTCACATCTGGCCACCAGAACAGCTTCGGGGTGCCCATCGAGCAGGACAAGCGAATGCTGCAGTTGCTGAAGGACGTAAGTCGATCGATGGGGGGGGGCCTAGAGCGGGGGAGAAGATACACTGTATTGTCCACCTTTTGCAGCTACTGCCCAGACCCCAGGCCACGCCTCCAGGCCACGAGCAGCCCCTCACACGCGTCTCGCCCACTCTGCCGCCCCCGTCGGCGGCCAGCGGACGGCCCACAGAGGCCATGAGCACCACACCGTCGCCGACAAACAGCGGCTGCTACTCCACCATGCTGCCCATGTGCCAGGGCGTACTGGACTACGACCTCACCTACAACCGGGAGGGGTCTGCCCCACGGGATGCCGCCGCCATGGCGGCGTACGAGGACCTCCTGCGGGCCAACTGCTCGGCGCGGGCCATCGAGTTTGTGTGCGCGGCCCTGGAGCCGGAGTGCCGGCCCTCGCCCGTGGGCCAGCTGCCGCCGTGTCGAAGGATCTGCAAGGGTAAGCGCCAGTCAGCGAGAGTCACCCAATCCTAGAGTGATGATATCCCCCCCCCCCCCTTTTTGTAGCCATTCTGGAGGCCTGCTCCATAGCTATATCCAACTCGGATGTCCTCAGCGAGCTGTTCGACTGCAGCCAGTACCCCGATGCCCACGAGAGCCACAAGTGCGAGGATCCCACGCGGCGGCGGGACGACTGCTATGCGAATGAGTTCCAGTGCCACGACGGCAGCTGCATCCCACAGCAGTGGCAGTGCGACAAGATCAAGGACTGCTCGGGCGGCGAGGACGAGGACGAGCAGTGTCTGGTGTGCGAGCAGCAGGACGAGTTCCGGTGCCGCTCCAACGAGAAGTGCATTCCGGAGGGCCAGCGCTGCGACCTCAACTTTGACTGCCTCGACGGCAGCGACGAGGAGGACTGCGACGAGTACGGCTCGGGGGACTCGGCCCCCTTCGACGAGGCGGAGCTGAACGCCTTCCCCAGGGTCTTCTCCTACGCCAGCTTCCTGTCGCCCAACGAGACCAACGACAAGCTGTACACCTACATCACGGCCACCACGGACGAGGAGGCGGGCACCGAGACCAAGTTTCAGATCCACCAGGTGGCTGCACCCGTTCCAACGCCAGTGAATGGCTCCAGCGGCGAGGCAGGACCAGGACCCAAGGGGTTTGGTAAGACAGACTAGAAATACTCCCTAGAGCCAGGAATCTGAGACGCTAAACATTCCCCTCTAGTAAACTTTCGGGACAGCAAGGAGATCATGATGACCAGCGACTCGGAGAACAAGTTCAAGTACTCCCAGAGGGCCAATCGCACTTCCGTGAAGTTCAGCATCAGTGGACCCACGACGCCGGCGGCAAGGACAGCCAGTGCGATTCCCAGCTCTGCGTTGGTGCAACAGCGAGGACGCACCACCAGCACCAGCACCACGACGACCACCACCAAGGCCCCACCCACAACACAGACAGCGGTGACTGCCCCAGGGGGTTGTCTGCCCCACGAGCTGCGCTGCGTGAGTGGCAAGTGCATCACCGTCAGTCAGCTGTGCGATAAGGTAGGGGAAACCCCTCCACCCCCCTAAAGCAGGAACCCCCTTAAGCCCTCCTTTGATCCACAGCAAATTGATTGTCCCGATGCCGCCGACGAGCTGATGTGCGTCTATCGGGAGCGTCCCAGTGGCCGTAGGACTACCACGACCAGCAGCACCACTTCGACCCCGAAGCCGCCCAGAGCCACGCCCACGCCCACGCCTACAAGCAGTGCCAGTTCCAGAACCACATCGACGAACCACAGTGCCAAAGGCAGCACCACAACGCGACGCTCAGTGCGGACCACGCCCAATCGAAGTCGAAAGCCCAAGTCTTAGAGTGATGTATCTTGTATCTTGTATCTTGTAATGGTTATTTATATCTCTATCTCTATCCGTATCTGTATTTTATTTCTTCTTCGCGCTCGCTATATGTACGAATTTAAGTTAGTTTTTAGCTAGATTTTAATGAGATTTCTTTGACTATTTTTATGTGTATGTAAATTGAATAAAGTCTAAGAAGTGAGTAGCAAAAAAGATAAAGATTCGAAAAGTTTGGCGGGGGGAGCGGAAGGGAAATCTATCTATCAATCTATCTGAAAGGCGAAATTCAAATGAAATCGATACAATTAAAGCCGTGAGACACTGTTGCACAAGAGAGAGCCTTGGGGCGGGGGCGGGGATCGGTGGTCGGTGGTCGGGGGCCAGGGGGCCCACGCATTGAAAGCAATTCAATTAACCAGACCATTGTTTGTCCAAGCCACAAGGCCCATTATCCATCTATGCGAGTGGTGTGCAGGCGACTGCATTAGAGACATGACTCGGCCCAGACAATGCCGCACTCTGCTCTGGTCTCTGGCTCTGTGGCCTCTCTGGCTCTGTGGCATATGCCTATGAATCCAGTTTGCACATGACAAAATGCGGAAGAGACAAGCCACACTTGTCTGACAGATTAAATTGCAGTCAGACAACAGTTCCAGTCTCCTCCCAGTCTCCCAGTCGCCCAGTCGGACTCCCATTCCGACCCTCGACTTCGATTCCTATGGCGACCCCCTCGACTCGTTGACAGCTCGTTGCAATTTTTTTTCAGGGGCTGATTCTGCACAGAACCACAAAAGTTAAATGCGCTTTGATTTCCTACCCCGGAAAGGGGACCTCTTTTTTTTTTGGGATATTTTCTGATTGATTGCCATCAAAATCCGCTTTCGGCAAATACGATTTGATTGCCGTCATTGTCCCTGGCCGCCCGAGACTATTAATATATGTTTTCGGCAAATCCCTAATCCCCAGCACACGGACAATTGGGCAAAAACCCACCCGAAAAAAAACAGCCCAAAAATTGGGCTAAAAAAAAATGATATTTTATTTCCTGTGTTTCCAGAGTATTTTATGCCATTTGATACGTTTCATAGGCCGCTTTCTGACAGCTGTCGGGCATCTAAATTTTCACCTTAATTAAGTGATATTAATCGTCGTTGGGCATCTCTCCGCCCCCCACCCCACCCCGTCCCCCCTCTCTTCTTGGTGTGCAAAGCAGAAAAACTCTCATTCTCTTTTTTGGGCATTAAAAGCTTTTTTCACCTTCGGTTTTTCTGGGGAAAGGGAATGGAGGGAAGGGAGTCGGGGGTAGGGCCATGGACACGCATAATTTTCTTGTTTAAAACCCTTTTGCCGGAGACCCTTCTCCCTCCCAGAGCGGGGTCACTGCCAATATTGTTAATGTAGTCGATTCTAATGGCCTCCCATTTCGGTTTTTGGGGCCATATGCAAGCATATGAGTAGCATGTATCTTTGTATCTTTAGCCTGGGTCTGGCTATCAAGTTAATTGAAAACTTTTGGGCTCTAGTACTAGGGCCAGGAGAGGGTCTGGAGAGGAGGGGTAGTTATCAACTACAGGAAGTACAATAAGTATCTCCCTTTGCGGCCTTCTTTCAAGCCGTTCTCTTGCTCTGGCAATCATCTCTGTGGGAGTCCATAATTTAACATCAGATACAAGCAGAGGCTGAGAGACCTCTCTAGTTCCAATCAAAAAGGGAGGCTGTCTCAATCTTGAGAGATACTTATGCAGCCCGTATCCATATCCATATCGAAAGACTGGCCCAAGTGCAGGGGCCACCCTCAAAAGGGTTCACCCCGTGGTGCTGGCATAATTACGGTGCTAGAGAGAGTTCCGCTTGATCGTTTTCGAATTGCAAGCGATGCACGGCGCACACTTCCGCCCCGAGGCGAATGGCAGGAGTTCCATTCTTCAAGGAGTTCAAAAAGTTGACATAATTGTGCCAGCACCAAGGAGCGCCCAAGGAGAAGGAGTAGAAGGTATGCCCTGCTGCACTTTTGTATCGTTTTGGGCTGCCTGCAAGAAGTCATTGTCTCGGGCAACCCTTAGAGCAGCACCCATCTGCCCAGCCCTGCCCTGCCCACCCCTGCCCTGCCCATCTGCAAGGGGTGTCTGTCGTCTGGCTGCATTCCTTTGCCGACAGTTGCTACACATTTTCCAGCCAAGGAAATGGGTGTGGCCCAATCGGATTGCCCAACCCCCAGCCCCCTCTCGGCAAAAGTACAGTTTAGCCATTAGAGCAAAAGCTCAAATCTGGGAAAATCATTAAGCGCATTTTCCAATTGATTTCACACCTCAGCCGCAAACGGCAACATTGGGGGAAAGGGAGATGGAACCGAGAGGCAAAACTTGACCAAAATCAATAAGCAGCCAAAAGGCAACCGCATAAACAGAGAGAAATCAACCGAGAGGGAGGGGGAGGGGGAGAGGGAGAGGGAAAGGGCTTTGGGGACTGTCAATGCGGCTGCTTGGGCGTCGGTCCACTGAGGCATGGCAGGGACCAGACCAGACAATTGTTTTGCCCATCATATGGGGTTTTTTGAAGGGCATGCCCAGGAGTGGATGATGTATGCCACCAGGGCAGGGAGTGGGGTGGATATTTTGGCGAAAAGAAGTGAAGATTTCTATGGGAATCAAGCCATTCATGGGGTATATCTCCGTACTTTTAGTTACAGATGATTTTAAGGAGGTTTAAAGAGCCCTCTTACCCCCCAAGACCCTGATCATGGAGGAATATATCTTCCCTCCGATGGTTTAAAGCCTTTTCATCAAGATATTCTCATGTTTTCCATGTATAAACCATTTCCCTAGGTATCTTGCAGTCTTTACTGCCCTTTGCTGCACTTCACCGCAGACGATTTTGTCGCATTGTTGCAAAATTGATGATGGACCCACCTCAATCTCTCAGTCAATGTCCCCCGTCCCCTGTCCCCTCCAGGGCAATCGAATGGCAAAAGGAAAAACCCAAACAAAAACCTTAAAACCGAAAAACCAAAAGTGAAAATTGCTTTTGGGCAGCATCTTTTTACGCCTGATTGCAGCTCAAAGTGTCGTCTCTCTCTCCCAGGGCCTAGGTTTGTTTTTCCTCTCACACACACCCCTCCACAGGGCACACACACACACACGGATTCGAATGATTTACGAGCCTCGAGCTGAGGGCTGCTTAAAGGATAACACACACAGAAAACCAGGAGGACCAGTGTCGGACACATTCGGGTCCGATCATTTGCATAAATGCTCATTAAATCATGTTTGCCGGCCAATACGAGTGCTCGTTGCTTTGGCTCCTTCTTCTGTAAAACTTGCTGTCGGGTGTCCAGTTTTCGGCATAAATTTAAAGGCCATACGACACCTCTCCGATCCGATCGGCCGCCCGCCCGCCCCCCGCCGTTAATCGCCTCGCATGGAGTCGAAAGCCAACGATTTGCATTCGCCTCGCACCGAATGTCAAGTTCAAAATGATTTAGTGACTCTTTTTTTTTTTTGTTGTCCGGCCACTCCGGGGGTAATTAATTGGGAGAGAGAATGGCGATAGTAGTTTTTCGTGGAGGGGGGCGGGGGCTTGCTTTCCGGGAGAAAAGTCGGTGAATGGTTGGCGGCTTGTTTGGCGTGCGCCTAATGAGTGTTCACTGTGGCTCGCTGCATGGGGATTTCGATTTGGGGGGAGACATGATCTGTGGTGCTTATTTTGGGGGAAACTATTCCCCACTTTCGTAGGAGATTGTCTCGGCTAATGATGTAACTGGAAGATAAACGCCGGAGTGTGTTATGTGGCTTGAAAAGGAGATTGAGATTAAAGGAGATTGCTGGAAAGTGCTTAAATACTATGTGGCCTGGGGAATCCACAAACGGAAGTGCTAGAAGGTGAAAGAAGAGGAGCCGGAAGGAAATAAATAGGGGATTGCTTTAGACGGTCTTTAGCAGGGTTCCGCCACTCGATCTGTGGGACGGATCATCCACTAATCGGTTACGATCAGCCTTGAGATGGGTTCTGCTTAGATCTTACTTAGATCTCCTATGATTTCTCCTAAGATATTCCTGCAATGATCATCTCTCTAATTTATACGAAAGATTTGGATCGTAGTCCAATATTTGACTCATATCGGAGCCAGCGGACGAAGCGAGTGAGCCTGGGGTAGGCGCAAGCAAACGAAACGAGGGAGCAGGGGGCCTTTAGGAATTTGTTTTCTACCGATTTTAAAGATTTCCCAAGATTCCAAGATTTTCATCATAGATCTCTTAAAAATACCACAAAAATAAATTTTCCAACTAATTTTTTAAGATTTTCCACAGGCAGCAGCTCCCGCAATATTCTTCTATAAATTCAATCATCTCCTCCTCCCTCTCCTCCTCCTCCTCCCTCTCCTCCTCCCTCTCCTCCTCCCTCTCCTCCTCCTGCTCCTGAGAAACCCCACTGTCATTGTTAATCTTCCAACGTAACCCTCACCGCATATGGACAACACCTCTGTTCCAGGGGCCGACTGCAAAAGTTGAGGCCAGGCCCAGATACCCAGATACGTAGATACGTAGATACTCGTGCACAATGCGGTGGAAGGTGCGGCCTATCAATGACTAATAACCTTCAATATGCCCCCTACTTGCGAGTGCGGGTTCGGAGATCTTATTGTTCAAAGAACAGAGCAGGACATCTGTCAGCAGAAGGCAGCAACTCCATTCAGGCGCCGTGACAGGCGACGCACATGACTAATTATGGATATTGCAGCTTGTCGACAATACTAGACCATGACTCGGACTCGGGCTGGGGATCGGGCTCCTGCCACGGCTCCTTTGAGCCACACTAATGATCCGTGACAGACGTTGATCGGAGGCAGGCAGGCACCTTTTGACCGCCGATCGACAGCAAGTAGCGTGAAATATTCGCCATCAAAATAACGACAAAACACACACAAGACACACAGAAAAACAGACAGAGAAAACAGCAAAGTAAATTAACTTTATCGTCCCATACACGCGTCCAATCTTGGCCAATCATTCGGAGGGTATTGGTGGCACTGGCGGCACTGGCGGCTCTGAAGGGGGCCTGAGTCACCAGCTGCATAAACAAATTGCAGTCAACATTCATAATTTCCTGTTTAAATTAAGCTCTGGCCCGCATTTCGGGGCTGGCTC